CCCTAAACCCTAAACCCTAACCGATTCTTTCTATTGGTATGGCAGAGACTCTTCGGGCGTGGGCTGCTCCCAACTGTTCTCCTGCCAAGCGCTGTCATTGCCTTGGCCTTTTGTCTGTTCTCCATCGGTAGAAGGCGTCCACCTTTAGGGTTTAGGGTTTAGGGTTTAGGGCTTTGCAGCTCATTGCAGTTGGAACTACCAGGGTTACCATGACAGGACTGTGCATTTGCATAGCAAGACCCCAAACCCCAAACCTGAAGCCGTGCATTGACCCCGACACCGATACCTTGCAGCCCTCCCCTATATAATTTGGAAAAAAGGGCCCTAAACCCTCAACTCAGATGCCGACTTCGACCAGGCATCACGAGCATCCGTTGTGTCGTTCTCTTCGGCCCCCCATTCTCCGACTGTTAGGGTGTTGCACTTCTCAAGAAGCCAGTCCGGCACCTGGGTGTTCGGTGCCCCTTCCATGAAGGTGGGCAATTTCTTGAGCATCTCTTCGTTGTCCTGGGCTCTTCATAAGGAATCTTATAAAACTTCAGTTACCAAATCAAGAAAGCCACAATAGCTAGTATAGATCCCTTTTATTTAAAACTCCTAACCCTAAACCCTAAACTCCTAAACCCTAAACCCTAAACCCTAAAGCTCCTAAACAAGAGCGCAGTATCCGTCCACCAACCATCTTCCATGGTCACGAAGCTGTAGGCTGTGCCACGATGGCCAATGCGGCCGGTGCGGCCAATGCGGTGCACGTAGACCTGGGTGGTTGTGGTTAGGGTTTAGGGTTTAGGGTTTAGGGTTTAGGGTTTAGGGTTTAAGGTTTAGGGTTAGGGTGTAGGGTTTAGGGTTTAGGGTTTAGGGTCCCTTGTTGGGTCCGTATTATAATACGGCACCTATTATTTAGGGTACCCCAAAGAGGGACCATCATTTTGACAACTACGCACAGGACCTGGGGATCCTTCGGCAGGTCAAAGTTCACCACATGGGAGACTTTGCTGATATCAAGACCTCGGGCTGCTACGTCAGAGCCACGGTTTAGAGTTTAAGGTTTAGGGTTTAGGTTTTTGGGGTTTAGGGTTTAGGGTTTAGGGCCTCTGGCTGCTACGTCCGTCGCGAGCATCACGTCAATCTTGCCTTCCCGGAACAAGGCGAGGTTGGACTCACGCTTCGGCTGGTCCAAGTCACCATGAAGGGCCCCGGTCTTGGCAACCTCCTTATCCCAGAGGTACTCGTCCAAGGCCTTGGTTTGGTTCTTGCTGTTCGTAAACACCAGCATTCGTTCCTGACCCGTCGGCCGGCTGCTCTGCATCCAGCAGTCGATCAAAGACACAAGCGTGTCCAGCTTGTTCTTCTTCTCCACTTGCTCCAGAACCTGAGTGACTGTAGCCGCAGGGCTGCCAAGCTTTCCCACCTCCACAAACAAATGATTGTGCAAGTAGTTCATGGCAGTCTCCTGAATTTCCTTCGGAAAGGTGGCCGAGAACATCATTGTCTGACGCTCGTTGTTTTGAGGCATGCCACGCTTTTCAATGAGCTCTTGGATGGTTTCTTGGAAGCCTAGCTCCAGCATCCGGTCCGCTTCATCCAGCACCAGACCTTACTTTTCCCCTTAGTGCGGTTGTATAGGAACCGTAGTATCAAAGTGTAATTAATTTAAGAAGTCAAACTTTACCTACACTCTGCTGCCAAGACGCAATAAGTCTTCTGCACACTGATGATCTCCGCCTCGACATAGTCTGCAAAGCGACCTGGCGTCGCCACGCAGATGTCGGCGCCTTTGGAGAAATCACGCAGTTGATTCGCTCGCGCCTCTTGTCCATAGACACGGATGACGCGATAGTCCGTGCCATAGCCTTAGGGGCTGACTACCCTAGCCCCCAAAAAGCTAACCTTTTGAATTATACTAGGATTATATAAACCCCAAAACCCTAAACCCCAAAACCTAAACCCCTAAACCCTTAAACCCCAAACCCTTACGTACTCAGCCGCTAAGTAGCAGAATCGGACTGCATCGTCATAAATTTGCAGGGCCAGCTCCCGAGTGGGAGCCAAGATCAGCGTATCCGGCTCGCAGGGGCCCTCAAAGGGCTCCGTCAGGGCACCTGGGGGACTGGGGGTGGGAGTTTTTAGGGTTTAGGGTTTAGGGTTTAGGGGTTTTAGGGGTTTTAGGGGTTTTAGGGGTTTAGGGTTTAGGACTGGGGGTGGGTTCTGAGATCTAGAATCCTAATTGCCATTACGGTTGTAACCTAAGGTCACCCAGGTCGTGAAATTCTCACCTGGGAGTTTCCGAAAATAGGGGACCCTAATATAGTACCCTAAATAGTAGGACCCTTATTATCAGGACACCAAAATAAGGTACCCTAATTTTTGGAAACTCCCCACCTGTAGCTCGGTGGTTCTTCATCATGCTTGCGAGCATTGGGATCAAATAGGCTGCCGTCTTCCCGCTGCCGGTCTGAGCACAACCTTGGTTCCCCAGTAGCCCCTTAATGATAGGGGTTTAGGGTTTAGGGTTTAGGGTTAATAAGGGTACCCTTTTTCCTACTATTTGGTTTCAATAAGGGAACCTTCAAAGAAAAAGGGCACAAGGGTACTACTGGGGAACCTAGCAACACATGACATCCCGGCCAGCCAGTCCCGCGATGACAGCATACTTCTGGACTGGTGTAGGGTATTCAAACTTAAGTAGCCTCAAGATCTCCTGCAGCTGCCCCGGGATGCCGTCAAACCTGGCAAACAAGTCCTCGAAACTGTCCAGATGCTTGGGAAGGGTCTCAGCACCGTTGCCACTGACTCGCACATGTACTGAATTGTACAACTCGAAATCAATTCCGCGGTCACCTGATTCGTCTGAGAATGTGCATGCACTGTTGGTGTCGGGCGTGATTCCCGCCTGCTTGTACCAATCTTGGTAGTCATAGTATTCCTTGCGGTAGGTCTCGTGCCTCCTCTTGTTTGCATCCTCGGCAGTCTCGGCAGGTTGCTGCTGTGTCTGCCAAGCATTGGATGATCCCCAGGCGTCATCGGCGGGTTTCTCCCACTTGTTCCATGCGTCATCGGCGGGCTTCTCCCACTTGTTCCATGCGTCATCGGCGGGTTCCTCCCACTTCCTCAAGGTTCCCCAGTAGCCCCTTAATAATAAGGGTACCCTTTTTCGTACTGTTTGGTTTTTATTTTTCGCCAAAAAGAAAAAGGGCAAAAGGGTACTACTGGGGAACCTAGCTTAAGATAGAAGCTTGAAGAATTCCCGATTGGGGTTCCGGGTTGTGGTTACTACGAAAAAGTTTAAAGGTTGGGTATTGGAGAACTAAGTCCTCCATGCATTCCACTCTTGCTTCGTGTCTTGCCGGTCCGATGAAGGCTGGGCCTTCTCCTCCCACCAGCTCTTGCCTTAACTTCCCCAAGAAGCCAGGGAAATAAAAGGTTAAACTTTCAGATTACAGGATACTACTAAGTTATCAGAACCCAAAAAGTTTAAAATTACTACTAAATTATCAGAACCCAAAAAGTTCAAAGGTTGGATATTGGGGAAGTCAGTTGCCGGACTGATATCCGTGACCTCCCCTGTCTTCAGCATTCCAGGTGGGATCCTCCAAGGCTCGCTGAGGCTCCTCTGTCTGGTGGGGGGATCATGCCAAGGGGCTGTAACCCGGGAGGTTGTTGAGGGAGGCCATTATTCTACATACTTTGGGGGGTTCAAGTAAGGTCGGGGCTAATCTTCTGTCTGGTGCTTAGTAGGGAATGCGGGAATGGATCCCTATGATAGTCCCTTAAAGTCCCTTATAGTAGTCCCTATAACCCATTCCCCCTATCCCTACTAAGCACCAGACAGTCCTCCTTCTGCCAGGGATCGGAGTCATTCCACGGATCCTTAGTAGCTGAGTTGATAAGACCAGAAAAGTGTACACTTTCAGTTTTTAGTAGGTAATATTAAACCAAAAGTGTAAAGTGTATCCACTCAGCTACCGAGGATCTTCTTGAGGCCATGCCATGATAAAGTGAGAATCTAAACGTGTAGATATCCTGCTTCGAGCCGCCGTGGCCAGGCTCTGGCAAGGAGCTAGGGACGTCTCCTTCGGAGCTGTAACCAAAACTCATGCAGAGCTGAAGCTTTTCGGGTTTAGGGTCCACCCAAACCCCAAAAAACCAACATTCGAGATGTGGCAACCGGCTGCTCCATCGGCGACGGCCTCTTCAAGAGCTCGTCGTAGCTGAGCCTCGGGCGTAGGGGACTTCGCCCTAGGAGTCCCTGTGCGCAAACAGAGGGTACCATAAGAATTTCGGGATATCTAGGGTATACACGGGTCCATGTAACCACTCTGGCCTTAAGGTAGTCCCTGTACATAGGTACTGAAGGCCCGACGTATATACTGTTTTGGTACATGGACCCTTAAAGTTCGTATTTCGGAGGCGCCGTAAGCAGGCCTTAAGTACGGCTCCTTTGAGGGCTTCTGGAAGGGTTCCATCCCAAGTACCTCCGCCCTGACCGAAGTTGTCCCACTTCAAAAGCTGCATACTTCTAAGTACCCCTAAACCCTAAACCCTAAATCCCAAGCCCTGAAACCTAAGGTTGAAACCATGGGCCCCTAGTATGGGCCCTTAACCCTACTATATACCCTACATGTACCCTTCATCCCTAGAAAGGCCTAAGGGCCCATATTAGGGCCCATACTTCGAACGTTAGATGAAAGCACTAAGCCCTAAACCTACCTACCTCCTAAACCCTAAACCCTAAACCCTAAACCCCTAAACCCTAAACTCCTAAACCCCAAACCCCTAAACCCTAAACCCTAAACCTAAGCCCGAAGCTGCAGCTATGCCACGTCCGTCAGACTCAGGGCACTTGGACATGTCTTAAACCCAGAGAACCCAATAGCCCTTAATTAAGGAATATACCTTAAATTATAAGGGCCCTAATATTATGGTTTAAGGTATATTCCTTAATTAAGGGGTATTGGGTTCTCTGGGTTTCTGCAGGATGCGACTCTCGAAGCTAGCCCGGGCAAGTCACGTGACCTAGTCATGAACTTGAAACACTCTCAACCC